CTTAGTTATGGTAAGAGATAAATTAGATATAAATATTGTAACTGTAATTCTTACTTGATAACTGTTTTGTTATATGTAATTTTACTATGCTAAAGTTAAAGCCTTTCTTTTTTGTTTAAACAGAAAAAAGGGGAAGTGATGTGGGAGTGTCATATATCAATCTGTTGATTTCATTGGTTAAGTTATAATAAACCAACTGCTTGGCCTCAGCTTGGAACATAGATGGGAGGAGTAAACAGAATAGAATTCTGGGCGGAAGAGGAAGTGAGGTCAGACTCTGCTCTGCTTCCGGGGACAGACCCGACAGCTCTGCTGGAGCAGAGACGCCATGCTCAGCTCTCCCAGGCAACTCCAACCCACGATGGACTTAGGCTAGAATCTTCCCGGTAAGCGCACCTTGGCGTGCTTACAAACATTATTAGAAATGGGCTAGTCCAGGGGCGAGAATTAGCCTGTAAGGGTTAGAGTTCATGGGCCAAGCAGTTCTTTAAATGAATACAGTTTGTGTGTTGTTATTTCGGGCGTGAGCTAGCCATGCGGGCGGCCGGGTGCTGGGGACGCAGCCCTGCCACCGCTCCTGTTTCAACACCTCATCTTCACTCCAACGCACCAGGAACCTTCAGCTATAATAGACATTTTCATCCATAAATTGCTTTATTCTCATGTGTTTTTTTTTTTTTATCATGGCAACTATACCTAGTGAACTGCAGCCCCAGCCCCCCAGCTTCCCTTCCAGATGAAGACAAGAAGCACATTAGATTAGGGCTCCCCCTCATGGCATCATTTTAGCATGTAACACTTTCACAGATTACCTCTATAAAAGCCCTATCTCCAGTTAAGGTTCTAACAAAGGTGTTGAACATTAGCCAATCATCAGTCTTCACACCGTGAGCAAGCACAATGCCGTCTATTGTTTGTGAGACAGTGAACTTAGATCGCATTTTTCTTCTGTTCTAATTTGTGTTACATAAATGTTTTAGCTGGAAATTTTAATACCTTGCCTTGAAATTCAGTAGGGCCTTTTATATATGCATTAATGATTGCATAGCCATATAGAAAGAGACCCCAGGCATGCGACTTTGGGATCTTGAGAGTTCTGCTAAAGACAGCTCACTGACCTTTGACCTGATTAAGTTCTGGGCTGGTCTTGAGAGATTTTCCAGTTCTTTCTTAGTACATACACCTCTTTTATCCTGCACATTTACATGATGTTCTAGAATGTACCACAGCGCCTTCTGTATTCATGACAACTTCTGGGTTCTAGAGGTTATATATTAAAGCATAATTTTTGTTTTCAGATAGGATCTTATTTAACCCTAGGCTGCCCTGGAACTGAACCTGCTGCTTAGCTCAGGATGACTTTGAATTGATCCTCCTGCCATACTACCTCACCATACTCAGTTTGTGGGATGTGTTAATCCCACCCATCAAGAATAAAACTACTACCACCGTTTAGAGCCAAATCTGAAGCAAGCTTTATTAAACACTGGCCAGGTGAGTGGGCTCTGGCTAGGTCCATACTCAAGTTCCTGGGAAATGTTCCTGAGTCACAGTTTGAAGCAGCTTAAGAAGGAAAACCCATAATTCATTGCATTTCCTATCAAGTCCAATCAGGGGCAGGCATGCATCTTGACACACCTTCAGCCTACATCCAGTCAGGGGCAGGTGTGTATGCTGATGTATTTCCTGCCTGTGAACCTCCCGCCCCCATGTGATCAAGCCCATCTGGTGCAGTTCGGTCAAATAAACTTGTATAGGGGAGTGATAACATGTGACTGGTATCTCCCATAAACAGCAGCCTCCAGCGTTTCAGAACGATCTGTGCTTGGGCAAGAGGCTTGCAGATCAGGGACATTTTTGTTTCATGGATCCCTGACGCATAGTAAGTAAAACTTAAAATATAACTTTGGGTCTCACAGATGCTGGGATTGGTAGGTGCCAGAAAAGCATGCAACACTGAATGGCACCCTCAGCTCTAGAACCCCAAAATATTTAAAGAACCTGAAAAAATATTTCTTTCATTTTACTACACACACACACACCTATATAAGGTACTATAATCTATCATACAAGTAATAAATATTTGATGAAGGAGATGTGAGATGTCAATTTTTAGAAAAAGAGGCCTGTAAAGTTTTCCTTTATTCTCAGGGATAAAATTGAAATCCTAAAATACTCCTCATTTAATAGTTAATAGTTAATCATTTTTCATCTGTTTGTTTGTGTGTGTGTGTTGTTGTGTCTCTGTGTGTGCACCTATGCTTGTGCACAGCATCTGTGTAGTTAGAGGACAACTTGCAGGTGTCAGTTTATCTCCTTCCATCATGTGGGTTCCAAGGATTGAACTCAGGCCATCAGGATTGGTAACAAGCACCTTTACCCATTTCTCTGGCCCAAGATTCTTTATTTAGGCTCCGCTCTTCACCCCAGAACTGAAATATTCCCACTTCAAGCACTGCCTATGGACAGAACCCGAGAATCCAGTTTAAGACCATCCATTTGAAGCATTTGGGTTGGTGTGTACTTTGAAAAGAAAAAAAAAAAACCTTTGGATATTAGAGACACGATTCAGTGTAAATAGTACACATTGCATGGTGTCCCCAAGAGGGTCAAGGGCAGATCTTTCTGTTCCCACAAATATCTCCACAACAATAGGTATGCACACCGTCACCCCAGGTAATCTAAAAGAAGCTCAGAACTTCAGATAGTAAATTGGTCAGATTTTATGTTCAATATGCATTATGAAAAACATCTATCTACTTTTCAAAGTATTTTTCAAAATTGGAGAATTCAGATGAGTGTTTGCTGACTGCCCTTCCTCTCTGGGAGAGATTTTCAAGCTTGGTTTGCAAAAGAATGCAACTTGATTGGAGTGTGGCTAGGAATGGGAATTTTTGGCAAATAACCCTGGCGGCGCTGATGCAGGTAATGTCTAAGGGGAAACCCTTCAACAAACAGTGCCCAGAGCCACAGTTTCAAGGCCTGGGAAACAGACAGCAACACCCGTAGGGTTATTTTTAACACGTGCCTCTTCCAGCACGTCCTTTGTCACCCATTTGACCCTGAAGGCAAGTTTCACAAAATGATTTCAACATTTTGATGGAATACGGATGTCCAAAAAGGCATAAATATACAAAACAAAGAAGGCAGAACAAAACAAGAATAAGGAGGGGAGAATTAGTACTTTAACTTCATTCTTAATTGATGACACATTTATGGGGAGAATTATCACTTTGACGTCATTCTTGATTAAAGACACATGTATTCATTCACTATTGGCTGTGTCCTGTGGGTCAGACACTAAGATCAGGACCTGCACAACCACAGACTCTATACCGAGTAACACTCTTTTACTGGTTATTGCTCTTTCCTCATTCACCTCTCAGATTTGTTAGAGTGGTGGGCAGAGCCGCTGAAGCATCTAGAACAGCCATCTCCATCATAATTCCCTAAAACCGCAGCCCTTCAATACGGTTCTTCCCATTGCGGTGACCCTCAACCATGAAATTATTTTTGTTGATACTTCTTAACTTTAATTTTTCTGCGGTTGTGAATCGTAAATGTAAATAACTTTTGGAGATGAAGTGTGCCAAGAGGGGGTCGCAGCCCACAAGTTGAGAACCAGGGATCTAGGCCATTTCTAGGCTGTAGCTCCATCTGCTGGAATATAAGAAAACTCACCGGTGTCCAGCTGCCTAATAGAGGCGCATAAGACTAATAATCTCCGTGACGGAGAGGCTTTGGTGTTAATTAGGTTAACACCCTCCCCCCCAAATGTTCCTAATACAGGCTCTGCTTACTGGAGATGAACTGACCTTTCTTCTGGAGCCTCACCTTGAGCCTGAGCTCCTGAGAAAAGCCCGGAATGGTGCACCAGGTCTGATCTTAGTCACAGGTAGTGGACTGGGTAGGATAGTTCAGAACAGCCAGAAATCCTTCCCCGGGTCTCCTGTCCTGAAGCTGTTTGTTCCGCCCGTTCCCTCTCCCCTCTGTTTCCTCTGGCCCATTCTTTTCTCTGCAGTACCCAGTGGCTCCTAAATTCACCCACCAAGGCTCAGGTCCCAGCTTCTTCATCTATGCACGTTCTTTGCTATGCTTGGTTCTTTGATGGGTTTGCACAGAGTAAGAGAGAGAGATCTATGATCTCTGCAAAAGCTGCCATACTGGGGTCTGTTGGAGGCTCTTGATCTCTCTATAGGCAGGCGTGCACCTCTGTAGGAGGGAGCGAGAGCCAAAGGCAAATAGATCAAGAGCATAACACGCAAGAGCATAACACACTATTTTTAGATGTGTTGGCTTCTACAGAAATGGAGGATTTGAATAAGTAGAGGGGAGGAACAAGGGTGAGGAGGGTGGAATGAATATTTGTGAGTCTGGGAATGAATGTGATCTGTGGTCAAGCCATGAAGGAACAAGAGGAGATGGAATGGGGAACCCCCTACCCAGCGTCAGTTCCACAAAGGAGGGACTTCATGATTCCCAACTTCTCCTCTGGGCCTGAACTGCAGGATCTAAGGGCAAACGCATAGTATTTGACGAATGAATGGAAGATAGAAGCTACTGACAGGTGTTGCTGTAGTGATTGCTGTTATACTCTATCAAGCAGTGCCTTTAAAAATACCTAGAAGTCAGCCAGGTGATGGTGGTGCATGCCTTTAATTCCAGCTCTTGGGAGGCAGAGGCAGGTGGATCTCAGTGAATTGGAGGCCAGCCTGGTCCATAAAGTGAGTTCCAGGACAGCCGGGACTGTTATACAAAGAAACCCTGTCTTAAAAACCCCAAAAAGAAAAAGAAAAGGGAATATCTAGGGTCTATATAAATTCTGACTTAGGAACATCTGTGATGCTGAGTAGACCACATGGTGACGACTAAATCAGAGTTGGCATAAACGTGGAGTTTGAAGTGAGAGCCATAGTGTTTATAGAGAGGGTTCTATGTGTCAGGCCCCACGGGAGTCCTGGCAAGCATGGCATCAGTAATTTAGAGTAACTTCTTATTACCTGATGTCCTGGGACAGATTTCTCTTCTCCTGTCCCTGGAAACGTGATCTCTGCCTGTTCTATCAGCATCTGGACCACTCAGGGTTCAGACAGAGGAGGGTTCTTTCTCTGTGTGTCTTCTCTCCACGCCACAGGTCCTCCAGAGTTCCTGGATATGCAAACAGGCCCGTATTTTACTTTCTGTCAGACCCCACATCTGGATGCTGGCATGAAACCCTCTCATTCAGCTCTTCATTTAAATGCCTCCTTTCTTTTTTCTCAGAACCCATTTCTTCTGTAATCTTTGCTTATAGGGCATAAGTTACCCAGACGCTGAACATAGCGACCCCTTCCCGAGTGCTGGCTTTTCTCTTTTGCCCCCAAGCCTGCCAGTCACAGTGGCGCTGTCTTAAAGATCGGTCTCTTTGCCGGGTGTAGCGAATGGCTCGTGACTATCATCTCAGCACTTGGGAGGCCAAGGGAGTAGAGCTGCTGAGCTTGAGGCAAGCCTGGGCTACATGATAGGTTCCAGGCCAGCCTGGGTTACAGTGTGAGACATTTTGAAAAGAGCAATAACGAAATCAGGTCTCCCATTTGTCATGGGCAACCATCTTCTTTATTCCTCACCCCAGTGCCCCATACCTGTGTTCATCTGTTCCCCCACATCTCCCGCACCTGTCTCTCTACACTCTCTCTCCCCTTACAAATGGTTCACCACACCAAACTTAGATAGATATTTAAATGTTTTAACTTAGCTCCATTACTTACCGTCCAGCTTTATTCCTCCTCAGTCTTCGCATTGCGTGAGGGAGGACATATTCCCAGGCCCTTGTGGCAGTGCTGAGGGTCCTTGTGCCTCCCTTAATCGGGACCCTGTTTTTTATCCTCTTCAGCATTGTTTCTTCCTGTTTTGACCATTCCCCCCTCTCTCCCTGCAGTGCTTTCATGGCCAAATCCTTCTTTCAGGATGGCTTCTTTGGTTCCTCCACTGAGAGTCAGTTAACTATCTGAGAAACTCCCACAAGACTCTTGTCGGCTTTGAAGAACTCTGCACAGGCTGCAGCGGTTTTACCCGTTGACTTGGGGTTCCCAACTAAAATGAAAGTTTGACAAAAGAGAAATGTATGTCACGTCTGTACTAGTGAGTCCCAAGCTTCTAGAAAAGTGTCTTCCATAGACAAAGCACTCTATAAAGGTTTGTTGAGTGGTCAATGGGTCTCTGGTAAGCCTTGAATTTTTTTTTTTTTTGTGGTTTTATTTTCTTTTGCTTTGACCCAAAGATAAAAAATAGAACCCACTTCATAGTAAAGTTATATGGATTAAATGAGAAAATACTAGGACCTCAAAAACTGTTGCCACTATTATTATGACTCTAATATTATCTCCTTCCTAATGCTTCCTCCCTCCTACCTGCTCTAAGCCCTGTGGTAGCACTGGTCGGATTCTACTCGCTAATCCTGACGAGGTGGCCAAAATGAACTACAGCTTACAGATCAGGAAATAAAGATCAGAAATATAAGCAGCCTATTGAAGATCATATAGCTAGCTCCTTTTGGGCTCAAATCCTAAGAATGAGAACATTCAAAATAGTGCTTAAAATCTTAAGTGGGAATGATTGGAGGGGAAGGTTTAACAATGACGTGAGTAAGGATGTCCTAAGAAAGAGACCTTGCTTTGGGTTGAGTGAGTAGCTGGGCAGCCAAGGTGGGTACTTAATAAACAAACTGTCATAGGCATGGGACTTCTACTCGGGTGAAAGGTGAGATGCTGGACGTTTGACCATTCGGAAAAACAATAGCTCATCGTAGCTACCTAGATGCCTGAAAGTTCACAGTTGTTCCCTTCCCTCGCCCCTTCCCCCTCCCTCCCTCTCCTCTCTCCCTTCCTAGAAGTAAGAGATGTTGTATGTTCACTGAGCCTCCCCCTCCAATCCTCCCACCTTCCTAGCCACTTGTTTGTCCCCTCCCCCATGACTCATTGGTCTTTTCTTAGCCCCTATCCTACACCTATTTGGGTGGCTTTCTATGAAGTTCCTGAGAAGGTAATTTATGCCAGAACCCCAAAGCAGGCCTTTGCCAGCAGGTATAAGAACAGGTAGTCCCAGGCACTGCGAAAGTTTTAGAATGGACAAATAAAAGAAACTGCAGTGAGAACTCTTTCTCTCCTAATACCAATGTCTCTAAAACACCTAAAGTTTACATAGAACTTACACGGCAGGCTCTGTTCTGAATGCCTGGAGATGCGCGCTAAAGTGTTCCTTACGTTGATCCAATGAAATTAGAACTATTACTTCTCTGTTCTGCAGTGAGACACGGAGCACTGCTGAACCTTACCCTTTAGATTATGTTGGCCTGTGATTAGCTAGAAAATAAGACCTGTAAAGTCGTGGGAGTGGAGGGAAGACCTATAAAGAGATTTTGGCTAGAGAACAGGAATGTCCTGGCATCTATGGCCCTTTCGTTCCCCTACCAGCCAACTAAGCAATGCGGACAACGCAAGTGCCCCTTGGGGACATCAGTGACCTTCTGTGAAGAAAGCAGTAAGCACACTTTTTAGGTCACTCATCAACTATACCAGTATGAATTTTTTTTTTTTAACACAAGCCCCTCTGTCGTTTCTTAGCCTCAGTTTCTTCGTTTGTTCTAAAAAGAGACTTGACTAGGGAGTTTGTGTGGACTTCTGTGTTGAAGTTTCTTCCCGGGCTTCTTTGACATCATCGCCTTGTTAGAATACTTCTCCACCTCAAAACAGTTTTCAATATCTTCTCCACAGTCCGCGCCCCCCTCCCCTACCGCCGGCTCCCCAAACCTCTCTGGCAATCTTGATATTAGAAGTGGCCGTGTTGTGGGGAAAAACCTCAAGGTTTCCATTTGTTTCCTCGTTTTAAATTAGCAAAAAGGATTTACCGTCAATGCACCTCGAGAGATGGAGCCTTATTAAAACCAAAAACGGGCGGCTCATGGGAAAGCTCGGGGGCACTTGAGCATCACTCCATATCTGTGTCAGCCAAAAGTTGGGCTGACTTCTGCTGCCGTACACGCTAACCAAATTAAAGTATCACATCATCATTGCAGGTTTCACAATGTCTATCTCGTCGTGTCTTCTTCTCTTTTCCTGTGCAGCAAAGCTGAGCCCGAGGTAAAATGTCACGCCGCTGAGCGAGCACGCTCACCCGGCAGCTGGCAGCTGGCAGCTGACCTACTTGCTTCATTGGAAGTTAAGACTAACGTCTGCTCTTCGGGCGCCTCATTGGACTCGCCCACCATGACTAGGACTGTTTGCCTTGGGAAAAAAAAAAAGAAAAAGAAAGAAAGAAGTCATTCAGATCAGAGGTCTCAGATGCCAGGGGAGATAACTTTTATCTCTCTGACCAGGAGATGGGACGGTGGGACCGCATGTCACTGTCACACTTACGTTAAGACGTGGGTTTGAATGTGAGTCATGTAAAACAGATTCTCCCAGAAATGTAAAAATCATTGTACTGGATTTTTGAATCAGTTGTCACCAAGCTTGGTTATAAAAGTAAAAACCATTTATTTAAAAAGAAAAAAAAAAGACAAACAGCAAACGCGATAGATGTGAGATTCAAAGAACACTTTGTTTAAAATCATGCCAGCAGCGATTACGCTTTATGCTATGGTGGCAGATGCCTGCCTGCCCCTTCTGTATTCTTCAACCCCCAGAACTCTACAGGGAGCATACATCACTTGGTCACTCATGCCTTCAGTCCGCTGTCCCAGTTCCCAAGAGGCACAAAAGACCAGGCTTCTTTTTAAAACAAAGGACCAGGTGTTTTGAGGAAAGACCAGGTGTTCAAAGAGACTGATTGCATTCTGAGACTCAGGAAGGCTGCATGATGCTCAAGGAACCCAGGAGTTACCAGTATGATGTATGCAAATTTTCCACAATGGAGTGAAAAGCCCAGAAGTTACAAAAACTGGCTACCTAGAAGAAGACTGCTTTAATGTCAAACCAACAGGTGGAGATCACCTGGAATTCAGAAATGCAAGCTTCATAAAAGCCATTTTTACTAGAATGGGATGGAGTCCCAAGGTAGTTTCGATTTGCATTTCCCTGGTAGCTGGGGATGTTGAATACCTTTTAAGAGCTTCATTATCCATTTGCGTTTTTTTCTTCTGAGATCTCTTTGTTCAATTCCAATGCCCATTTTTAATTAGGGCATTTGTTTCCTTGATGTTGAAGATTTTCTTAAGTTCCTTTCATATTCTGCATATATTATACATTAACATATTAATATTATATTAAATATATTTTAAATTATATTTAAATGATATATATTAAATTATATGTTATAGAATATATATGTGTATTCCCAAATACAACCTGGGGAATCCACATGATGCTACTTGTACACTTGAATGTATGTTTTCAGGGCTGACCATTTGGCACTGGGACAACCAATTGGTATGCTCTTCCCAGGGAAGGGCCACCTCTCCTGATCCCAACTTTCCTCAGTTGCCTATAGTTCCTTGTGTAGGACAGGGACCTTGCAGGTTTTTCTCCTTCAGTTTGGTACCTTTGTCTCTGTCCTTTTTCTTCAGCTCATGTAGTGGAGTTTCTGAAATAACTAGGGAACACAATCCCACAGCCAAGTCCCCTGATCCAGAGGGCTCTTACAATGCCCCCCCCTTAGTGTTCCCTGATTCTTGGGTGTGTGAGTGTTCTGTAGAGTATCCCCTGTAATTGGGCTCCCTAACTTTACATATTGATTGGTTGTGGTCTTCTGTAATGGTCTCCATCTCTTGCAAGGAGAAGTTTCCTTGATGAAGGGTGAAGACAACACTTACCTGTGAGTGTTTGTCCTTATGTAAGAACAAATGTTTATCAATCGTAGATAGAGATTATGCTAGTTTAGTAAACTAGGATTGAAGATTCTTTTTCAGTAACCGTGATTTCACTAGCATCGATTAGTTAGCTAGGTTTCAACAACCAGGCATGGCATCCTTCTAATTGGATTACTCTTACATCCAATTAGAGAATCATTGGCTACTGCCATAGTATGTGTGTCACTACTGCACCCATAAGGGGATATGCCATACTGGTTATTGATGGGGGTCATAGGCATCATAGCTAGGTGGGACTATATATTATCTCTCTCCTTTGGAAGCTTGCATGGTACTTTCTGGTACCATGGAAGCTAGTCCTCTGGGAAAGGGCATTCAGGTCAGTTCCTGATCAGGGGCCTCTGGAGGTTGCCTCTTAAGTGCAATAGGGACTGTACTTCTATCTCTGGGAGATAACCAAGGACAACAGCAATAGGCTGTCTGTTTTGGTATTCTCTTAGATAGTCCTGGCCAACAACTTAAAAGAAGGCTTCTCATGTCTGGTATCAGGGTTTTGTTAGCTGGTCTTTGGCTCTTGGTTGGAAAACTGACTGCCATTCAACAAGCTGCTTCTTTGTTTGACTGACTCTTGCCTTTGCTGCAGAAAAGCTCTTTGATTTCCCAAGGACCCATTTGTCAATTGTCTTATTTCCTGAGAAACTGGGGCTCTCTTGAGAAAGTTTTCACCTCTGCTAATCTCATGTTACCCCAGTAAGAATGTCCTTTATGAAGAAAACAACAACCGATGCTGGCAAGGATGTGGTGGCGGTGTAAACTAGTACAGTCACTGTAGAAACCAAGGGGGAAGCTTCTCAAAAGGCTAAAAATAGATCTGCCATATGACTAGGTATACCGCTTCTGGGCATACGCCCAAAGGGCTGCTTACCCTATGACACAGACACCTGCACAGCTATCTTCACTGCTGCGGTCCTCACGGTGGCTAGAAAATGGAACCATCCCGAATGTTCATGAACTGATGGATGCTGAGAGAAAATGTGCACATTCACTCATGAGAATTTTATTCAGCCCTAAAGAACTTGGGGGAAAAAATGCACTGAGTGAGGTAACCCAGGCTCAGAAAGACAAACACTGTATATCCTCTTAGATACAAATCTTCACCTTTTTAGAGTGCTGTGCTTTAAGTTGGGGTGAGATGCCAGTAGAGGCCAGGTAGCAAGAAAGGAGCCATAAGAAAAGTCAGGGAAGAGGAAGAGGGTTGAGGCAGGAAATACTAAAACACAGAATATGAAAGTGAAATGGGGGACCACCGTGGAGGATAGAAGAAAGGTGGTCAACTCAAACTAAGGATGAATAAGCCATATAGGAACTTACATTTTTACAAACAGACTTGACAGAAATGTTTTTTAAAGCTTCCCCCACACCAACAAACAGGAGATTGAACAGAAATACTTGGAATGGGGGGTCAACACTTCTCTCAGAAAGTCATAATTTTCAAAACAAAATTTCAATGCCAAGTGAGGGATACCTCCCCAGGAGCTGTTGGCCAGGGAATCCACAGAGCTCTCCAATAGGTTATTGCTATTGCTCTTGGTTGCCAAGCAAAAGTAAATAGTAATGGTGAAGGTACCATATACTCTGGATACAGGTCACAGAGACATTAACCTGAAGCTAAGCTGGAAGTTTCCTATCTGCTGGCTAGCATTCACAGGTCTGGAACATGCTACACAGATGGTTGCAAGAAAGAAGTGATCAATGACCACACCTAACCATAGACCCTGTGTCTTATAATGCTAAAATGACAGGCAAGATATGACCACTGTTGTAATAGCGGCATGAATGCTCTGGAGACAATCAACCCCTTCTGTGTTAGATATGAGGCCTCTTCCAGGGGAAAGAGTACATTAATGAAGAATTAATCAAAAGTTTAAGGCTAGGGAGGTCCCGGGCCCTATGAGGGAATATGTTATCAATGTTATATCAAATGAATTAAACCTGTTTCTAACCATTTATATTTATACTCATAGACTAGTGCAACTCTTAGCCTTGATCAGAGAAGTCTCTTTCATCATTGGACAATGGCTGAAGCAGGAATAACTGACCAAAGTGCTAAGACTAAAGGACTGCTGAGTGTTCAGCTCCAAACAGGACCTCTATGTCACCCTGCTCTGGCATCCAGTAAACATCACAGAAGAGGGGATACAGAGGCGTTAAAGGAGTTGAAGGGTGGGAGTTGATAGACGGGAAGTTCTGCTCTTACCTGTATATGATATGACTGAGGCAAACATGGACGCTCAGCAACCTTGAATGCCTACAAGGGCCTGGAAATAGGAAGAGGAAAAGGGGCAGGAGGGTAGGAGGAAACTGGTTGGGAATAAGATGGGAGTCAGTGGGAGGGGGATGAGAGAGGGTAATGAGGGATGAAGGTGGTCATAGTGCATTGTGTCCTAGTGTGATCCCATCAACATGCGGTACAAGCTTCTGGAGCAGTATATTCTACCTTGTCCAGGAGAAAGATCTTGACCTGACATTAAAGTGTCTTGTGGACTCCCCATATGCTGGTTGTTCTATCTATTTCTTTATAAGACAATCTCTCTCTTTTTTGGGGGGGCGGGGGATTTTCGAGACAGGGTTTCTCTGTAGCATTTTTGGTTCCTGTTCTGGAACTGGCTCTTCTAGACCAGGCTGGCCTCGAACTCACAGAGATCGGCCTGCCTCTGTCTCCCAAGTGCTGGGATTAAAGGCGTGCGCCACCACCGCCCAGCATAAGACAATCTCTTAACTGAGAAAACATATAAATATAAAACCCAACTAGGAATAGAGCTTTGAGATAAATTTTTATTTCATCTATTCCAAATAACTGTCAGGAATTTCTTGGGCTTTTTTGTTTGTCTTTTGTTTTTTTCTTTAAATTGCTTCTTGGTTTCAAATTCTCTTGGTAATTGCTGTGCTAGCTAGTTTTATGTCAACTTGACACAAACTAAAGTCATTGGAGTGGAGGGAGCCTGGATTAAGAAAATGCCTCTAGAAGATCAAGCTGTATGTAAACCTGTAGGGCATTTTCTTAATGAGTGATTGATGTGGGAGGGTCCAGCCTATTGTGGATGGTGCCATCTCTGGGCTGGTGGTCCTGGGTTCTACAAGAAAGCTGTCTGAGCAAGCCATGAGGAGTAAGCAAGTAAGCAACACTCCTCCATGGCCTCTACATCAGCTCCTGCCTCCAGGTTCCTGCCCAATTTGAGTTCTTGTTTTGACATCCATTGATGAGAAATAGTAATATGAAAGTGTAAGCCAAATGAACCCTTTCCTCCCCCAACTTGCTTTTCAGTCATGGTGTTTCATTGCAGCAATAGAAACCCTGACTAAGACAGTTGCCCTCTTCACATGGCTTCAACCCTGGTAGTATTTTCCCTTCACAGCAAGCTCAGTATGATGCTCTGTAAGTAAGTTGGAATGGTAGTGTAAAAGAAAGGAAATGCC